CCCGGAAGACTCGGCCGAGATGCTGGCGGAGAACCTGGTGGAGGAGTTCGAACTGAAGGAGGATGAGCCGTGGTACGACCACCGGGACCTCCAGCAAGGTGAGGGCGAGGTCGCCGCGGGTGGGCGGGCGGGCGGTGGTCTGGCCGGGGACTCTCGCACCGCGGCGCGGAGGAGCTGGGAGCCTCGCAGCTTCTCCCGGCTGCGAAACTGTGACAGAGTTGCTCAGGTGTAGGGAAGGTTGGCGCTCACCTTGCGTTCCTGCTCATCCCGCGCGGTCGGACGCCTGTGCGCGGGGCCCACGGCCTGGCTTTTTGCGCAGTAATAATAATAATAATAATCACTAACGTGTGCGGCGTGCGCTTTACGCCCCATGCACTGCTTTAAAGCGCTCTCCATGGATTAACTCGTTTAATCCTCGCAGCGATCCTGTGAGGCAGAAAGCGGTGAAAAAGACGTGCCACACACCTTTTCCAGGCTCCTTACTTCCTGCTGCCCCTGTCTAGGGGTAATCACGCATCTAGTGGCCAGTACTAAGTGTCAGCTGCTGCAGTTAGTGGTCGGACTACTGTGTGGCAGGAACGGTGCCGAGTCTTCTGCACACATGCTCTCGTTTGGTTGGTTCACTCTATAGCTCTACGAGAGAGTAACTTTTGTTACCCCCATTTTCTAGATGAGGAAAACGGAGGCGGACATGGTTAAGTGCCTTGCCTAAAGTAAGTGCAGGAGTATGTTTGAATCCACGCACTCCGAATGAGAAGTCGGAGTCATTGCCCAAACCCTGTCTCCGCCTTACCACCCAGTTTACAGTTTTTTTCTCTTGGATGTTAACTTTTTTTTTTTTTTTTTTTTTTAGTGTTTATGCATAGCTCACCAGATAGCAAATGAAGTGACTGCAATATGAAATGGCAGGCACTTTTTTTTTTTTTTTAACCTCACCTGCTTTTTCAGTTTGCCTTTCATCTTTCAGTTAAAACACATTCCTGTTTGGCCTGCCTTGGATTTGTTGCTGATCATGCCTCCTGAGAGCAACCTTAGAGCAGACCTCAGTTTGGAGCCAGTGGCCCCTTTTTGGCATACTTACTAAGGAGCTGTCAGTTGGGGGAACACTTACTATGTGCCAGGCACTGGCAAACCCTTAGCAGGCATGCTCACTTAGTCCTCCCAACAACACTGTGGAGGCAGAAGTAGACACTGTTATTTGGGAAACTAGGATTTCAGACTCCAGAGCAAACATTCTTAACCACTATACTGAGTGGTGCAGTGGTAAAGCATGCTGGGCTGCTAACCAAAAGGTCAAAGGTTGGAACTCATCAGCTACTACGTAGGAGAGAGATGTGGCAATCAGCTTACTGTAACGTTTGGGAAACCCAACGGGGCAGTCCTACCCTGCCCTGTAGGGTTGCTTTAAGTTGGAATCAACTCGATGGCAACAAGTTTTTTTTTTATACTGAGTACTAAATAATCTTCAGGAATTTTTTCAGGCATCTTTCTGTTTCTACAATTCAGTGGTAACCCATTTTTTCAGCTCTAAACTTACAGTGAAAATTGGCATCTCAATTAGTGAATGTTAAATGATCATGATGCTTTTTCATAGTGACCGTTGAACTTGAGGGGAAAAAAAGGAATGTAGATTTGAAGGACTCATACTTAAAAAAGAAGATAAAAAAAAAAAAACACCTCTTTGGGAATGTGATTTCTAAAATCAGTATGCTGTGAACAATCACTTAAACCAAAGTAGTTCAACATTACTCTTACACAGCATAACCGAACCTGTTGCTGTGGAGTCGATTCCAACTCGTAGCAACCGTATAGGTCAGAGTAGAACTGCCCCATAGGGTTTACAAGGCTGTGTAATCTTCAGGGAAGCAGACTGTCACATCTTTCTCCCGCACAGAGCAGCTGGTGGGTTTGAACTGCTGTCCTTTTGGTTAGCAGCTGAGCACTTAACTACTGCATCACCAGGGTTCCTTTTATACAGTACAGTCCACTCTATTTAGCATTGCAGTAGTTGCCGTCATGTTCTCTATGTCCACAAGACAAATTTGTCTTAACAAGCCTGTTTTCAGATTTCCCCATAAGGATTGATGGCCTAGTTTGATACATTTTCCAGGATCAATGAGGCAACCACTGTGCAATTACAACATTCCCCTATAATTAACGATTTCTATAGTCAGAGGTAAATACTTTTCTTTCTTATATTTAAGAAACATGAATCTGTAAGGCAGAGAGGGCAGGGACCTGGTCTGCTCATTTTTTTAAATCCTCAGCATCTAGGATAATACTTGGCACATAATAGAAGCTCAATTAGTATTTGCTGAACTGAACTAAAGCACTCATATAGGATTACTGTTTTCATGGTTCTCTTCCATCAGGTGCTTAGTCCACACCGTACTTCCCCCCATCGGAGACTGCTTGGAATAGCTAGTTGTAATATTTCAATCTACCAAGAAGCGAATGCAGTATATTAGGGTTACATGTGGAATTCTCTTAACCTCTTTGATCAAAATGAAGTTCTCAGATCTTCAAGTTCAGTGAAACCTTAAAGGACCCAGACCGAACTTCCTTAATACCAGTTTGTATTTGGAATTTGTTCTTTGGTTTTCTAAGGGCTTTTACATTCATTATCATAGTGTACTTTGACATAACCTTGTGAAGTATGTGGGGAATAGAAGATGTGAAATTCCAACAATCATAACTTACGAACATGGTCTGTAAAAGAATGAAGGCTACAGTGTGAATAAAAGATATCTTTGCCCCAGTTTTGCTAAATTGTTTGTTAAAGAACTTCTAAAGGATTTGAAAATTTGTTCAGTTCACAAAAAATTATCGTCTACTTTGTGCCAGGCACTTATGTAGGCACTGGGGCCACGGCTGTGGACAAGACAGGATAGGCAGGATTCCCACTCTCATGGCGTCACTGGAGAAGTCTGGAGATGCTGCCTATGGTATGTGCCCACTACAGTGCTTGGCACATAAACCCAAAAAAACCTGTTGCTGTCGAGTCTGACTCATAGGGACCCTATAGGATAGGGTAGAACTGCCCCATAGAGTTTCCAGGAGCGGCTGGTGGATTCGAACTGCCAACCTTTTGGTTACCATCCATAGCTCTTAACCACGGCTCCACCAGGGCTCTGATAGTAGGCCCTCAATGGTTATTTGCTGCTGAGTGAAGTTTGTAAGCAGGTCATTCCTATTAAATAGATTGATTAAACAGGTCTGCTGGGATTTTTAGGAGCCCTGGTGACGCAGTGGTTAAAGCACTCAGCTGCTAACCAAAAGGTGGGTGGTTCGGACCCATTAGCTGCTCCTGGGAGAAAGATAACAGCAGTCTGCTTCCGTAAAGATGACAGCCTTGGAAACCCTCTAGGGTCCTCTGTCCTGTAGGGTCGCTATGAGTCAGGATCAACTCAGCAGCAACAGGTTTGGTTTGGCTTTAGTGGGATTTTATTATGTGCAGATATCTGTTCACTTTTTAACACCCTCACTATCAACTTTTCTGAATGAGGCTTGCTTGGAGTTTGGAGGGAGCTGCTTAAAACTTTTTAAGATCTTGTTCTCAAAGTCAAAACTAGGAAATAATTTTTTTCCTTTAACAGTATAAGCCATTATTTAAGTTGGTGGAATCTTTGTATCCAAGTTTGCTGGGGCATTGTTTTTTACATTAAAATTGCTAAAAAAAATTCTCACCTCAGTAGACTCTGGTCTACTATTCATATTTTGTTAGAAACATGTAAAGCTGTGTGGAGGCAGAAGGAGGAAAGCCTTTGCTTTTATCAAACACTTTGATGAAGAGACTCTTTTGTCAGATGGCTAAGTTGGCGTGGTAAGAACATTGACAGTAATCTCTGTGAGTAAGATCCTTTCTGGGACAGCAGGAGCTTTCGGTGCAGGTAATGATGGTGCTTGCTTTGAAATGTGCCCCTGAGAACAGGGTGGAAAGACTTCAGAGACTGGATTTTCTTTTAGACCAGCTGCTATTATAATTGTAGTTCAGTGAGCTTGCAAGCTTAGAATAAGGATTCAGATTTCCACTGCATGGATCGGCAAATGAAATCTTAGCTTAAAGGAATCTTAAGATTTCTGTTTCTTTTTAAAATGAGTACATCTTCCTTGTGTGCAACTTTTTTGCTGAATCATTGTTTGGTGGGTCATTAAAAATGATGCTGCCCATTTTAATGACCCACCAAAGACAGCATCCTTTTTCTGGATGTTTATATTCAACTTTTTCCTTTTCCAATTATAGTAACATTGGCAAGAGGAGTTACACGGAAGCGTCATCAGATGACGCATTTGACTTTGTAATAGGAAAAGCTTTCAGCCATAATGTTATTGAATTAGTGCTACAGACTACAGCTAATGTGAAAATGTTTTGTCCTCATATGTTCTGAAGAGATTGAAGTAAAATGTGTAAAATATAATAGTAGTGGGCTTTAAAGGTTTCAGAATTCTGAAAGTCCTTTTAAAAGATCACTTCTGCTGCCAGTGCTAATTTTTTGCCTAAGTCATAGGGCTGATTGAACATCTGTTTAAAGCTAACAGCCTTGTACTGTTAAAATAGAATATTATCAGTTGCAAAGACCGATTCGTGAAAAAGGATCTTGTTGAATGTTAAACTATGAAAGTATTGATACATTGCAATTCCCAAACCTGCAATCTGTGGTATTTCTCAGTGGCTGCCTGGGCCAGTTCAGTAGGATTTAGAAAAGACAACCTCTTAATGAAAATCCTTCTTGTAAAATACAGATGAACAGGTGTGCAAGGCTTCAAAACGATATTGTTTCCTCTTCTTTGTTGCCTTAATTAAAAATATAAATAAAGGACATTCAGTATTCTCCCATTCCCTCCACTAATTATTTAGAAAACCTCCTTGGGCTTACTGCCAGCTTTTGGCTTCTTTTGGTTATGGAAGCCAGATGCTACACAACAGGAAAAGAACTTATTTTAAAGTCCTTCAAAAGACCATAGTCTTTAAACTAACACATGAAGTAATATCCTATTATACAGCGTGACTTCACAGGTGCCTTCTTGTAGTTGAAACTTATCTTGTTAAAATTCTATCCTAAACACTTCATAAAATATTTAAGAGACTATGAGACTT